AACGTCACATTTGGAGGGGGCAGGACGTAAACCCTAAACCACATGCTGCCACTAGGGAGAGCTTGTTTTGCTCTAACTTCTGCCTAATGGTCCTAACACATGATGATGTAGATGAGTAGTTTGATGCTACCATAGACCTGAATTCGTAGACATGCCATTGGGCACTGGAGAGCGTAACTGTGTCACCGCCATATTGGATGGGTCCCTCACTCTCCAAGCCCTATGCAAATTGAGCACCTATTGTACAGCCTACGGTTGCAACAACCACCACACTATTGAAAACCGATTGTGTTGGATTACTGTTGATTTTTCTAGTCTACCTGATAGGATTTTATAATAAAAAAAATTCCATTAATTTGATTTAGTTATATATATATATATATATATATATATATATATATATTTTTTTTTAACTATCAGGCCATACCATATGTCCGTGAAAAACTGATAAAATGTGTTTTTTAGTTGAGTAAACACCTTCCTCAGTATAAATAACAGGGTATCCGCGGGTCCTTAAAAAGTCTTAAATTAGCTTTTCCAAATTTAAGGCCTTAAAAATCCTTAAAAATGACAAATAATCCTTAAATCCAGTTTCCAAAGGTCTTAAATGTCCAAAGACCCAATAAACAAGATTCTTTTATTTCTATCAAATTTTCATAAATTTCTAGTTAGTGTTCAGCATTTTTTGTGTACGATGTTGGCGTAAGCGGAACCGTACACATTCAGTTGGTTGTGAAAGGGGGCTATTTTTAGATGAGCACATTAGCTGGTTAAACTAGCGGGAGCTTGCGCCATGGGGAAGGGCAAGTTTAATGGTAACTGGATGGCTAATCCCACGTTGGCGACGTGGTTAGCACCGGTTCCAGGCAATAGCTGGAAATTATAGCTTAAATTTAATTTTAAAAAATTGCTTAAATTTGGTCAAAATGGCCTTAAAGAGGTCTTATAAAGTCTTAAATTTGGCTCCCTTAAACCTTTAGATACCCTGAAATAAATGCTATGGTGGCAAATGGGGACCCATTCAAGATGGTGGCCAGCTGCTACACTAGCTCCAGTAGGCAGTGCCAGTCCGCAGGGTGTCTTGGTATCTGTGGTTTTTGGTGATGTTTCAGGCATTTTGCTCTAAAAAAGCCAGAGTTGTTCCTTCTTGTTTCAACAGTCTGTAGTTTGCTTTAAAGACAGCAGAAATGCTGTGAGGTAACCCAACAATACCAGAGTCAAAATGCTTTAGACAGCCACAGGAGGAGGTTTTGCTTTGAACCGTCACCTTATCGTGGTGGAGGAGTTTGAGTGCCCTAATGATCCTAGGAGCTATGTTGTCTGGGGCACTTAGTGCCCCTGGTAGGGTCTCCCATGACAAATTGGTCTTAGGTGAAGGGTGAGACAAAGAACGGTTCGAAGGATCTTTCATGCGGATAAAACGAAGAGTCGGAGTACCCGGCCCGGAGGGTTACCGGGGTCCCACCCTGGAGCCAGGCCTGGGGTTGGGGCCCGTGAGCGAGCGCCTGGTGGCCGGGCTTTCGCCCATGGGGCCCGGCCGGGCCCAGCCCGAACCGGATACATGGGCTCGTCCAACTGTGGACCCACCACCCGCAGAAGGAACATGAAGGGTCCGGTGCAATGCGAATCGGGTGGCAGACCAAGGCGGGAGCCTTGGCGGTCCAATCCCCGGACAAGAAAACTAGTTTTTGGGACATGGAACGTCACCTCGCTGGCGGGGAAGGAGCCGGAGCTTGTGGCAGAGGTTGAGCGGTACCGGCTAGATATAGTCGGACTCACCTCGACACATTGCATTGGCTCTGGAACCCGAGACCTGGAGAGGGGTTGGACACTCTACTTTGCTGGAGTTGCTCCGGGTGAGAGGCGGAGGGCTGGGGTTGGCTTTTTGTTAGCCCCGAGACTCTCTGCCTGTGTGTTGGGGTTTACCCCGGGGGACAAGAGGGTAGCTTCCTTGCGCCTTCGGGTCGGAGAACGGGTCCTGACTGTTGTTTGTGCTTATGGGCCAAATATCAGTTCAGAGTACCCACCCTTTTTGGAGTCCCTGGGACGAGTGCTAGATAGTGCTCCATCAGGGGACTCCATTGTCCTGCTGGGGGACTTCAATGCTCACGTGGGCAATGACAGCTTGACCTGGAGGGGTGTGATTGGGAGGAACGGCCCACCTAATCTGAACTCGAGCGGTGTTTTGTTATTGGACTTCTGTGCAAGCCGCAGTTTGGCCATAACGAACACCATGTTCGAACATAAGGATGCCCACCGGTACACTTGGTACCAGGGCAGCCTAGGTCACAGGTCGATGATAGATTTTGTAGTCGTATCATCTGACCTGCGGCCGTATGTTTTGGACACCCGAGTGAAGAGAGGGGCGGAGCTGTCAACTGATCACCACCTGGTGGTGAGTTGGATCAGATGGCAAGGGAACATGCCGCGTAGACCTGGCAGACCCAAACGCATAGTGAGGGTCTGCTGGGAACGCCTGGCAGAAGAACCTGTCAAGAAGGTCTTCAACTCCCACCTCCGGCAGAGCTTTGACCACGTCCCGAGAGCAGTGGGGGACATTGAGTCCGAGTGGGCCTTGTTCCACTCTGCGATTGTCGAGGCGGCTGTTGCTAGCTGTGGTCGTAAGGTGGCCGGTGCCAGTCGTGGTGGCAACCCCCGTACCCGCTGGTGGACACCAGAGGTTCGGGGAGCCGTCAGGCTGAAGAAGGAGGCCTACAGGGCGTGGCTGGTCTGTGGGTCTCCGGAGGCAGCAGACAGGTACCGGATAGCCAAGCGGGGTGCAGCAGTGGCAGTTGCCGAGGCAAAATCTCGGGCGTGGGAGGAGTTTGGTGAGGCCATGGAGAAAGACTATCGATCGGCTCCAAAGAGGTTCTGGCAAACTGTCCGGCGCCTCAGGAGAGGAAGGCAGCAACTCGCTCACACTGTTTACAGTGGGGATGGGGAGCTGCTGACGTCCACTGAGGCTATAGTCGGACGGTGGAAGGAATACTTTGAGGAGCTCCTCAATCCCACCAATGCGCATTCCGAGGAGGAACCAGAGCTGGGAGGCCTGGGGATGGACTGTCCGATCTCGGGGGCAGAAGTTGCTGAGGTAGTCAAACAACTACACAGCGGCGGAGCCCCGGGGGCGGATGAGGTTCGTCCTGGGTATCTCAAGGTTATGGATGTTGTAGGGCTGTCATGGTTGACACGTCTCTACAACATTGCGTGGTCATCGGGGGCAGTTCCTAGGGAGTGGCAGACCGGGGTGGTGGTCCCCATCTTTAAGAAGGGTGACCTGAGGGTGTGTTCCAACTATAGGGGGATCACACTCCTCAGCCTCCCTGGAAAGGTCTACGCCAAGGTACTGGAGAGGAGGGTCCGATCGATAGTTGAATCTCAGATAGAGGAGGAGCAATGTGGTTTTCGTCCTGGCCGTGGAACTGTGGACCAGCTCTATACCCTTGCAAGGGTGATGGAGGGGGCATGGGAGTTTGCCCAACCAATCCACATGTGCTTTGTGGATTTGGAGAAGGCTTATGACCGTGTCCCCAGGGGCACCCTGTGGGGGACGCTCCAGGAGTATGGGGTGGGTGGCTTTCTGTTAAGGGCCATTCAGTCCCTTTACCAGAGGAGCGTGAGTTTGGTCCGCATAGCCGGTAGTAAGTCGGACCTGTTCCCAGTGAGGGTTGGACTCCGCCAGGGCTGCCCTTTGTCACCGGTTCTGTTCATCACTTTTATGGACAGAATTTCTAGACGCAGCCGTGGTGTGGAGTGTGTCGAGTTTGGTGGCAGGAGAATCTCGTCTCTGCTTTTTGCGGATGATGTGGTCCTCCTAGCTTCATCCAGCTCTGACCTTCAGCTCTTGCTGGGTAGGTTCGCGGCCGAATGTGAAGCGGCTGGGATGAGGATCAGCACCTCCAAATCTGAGACCATGGTTCTCGACCGGAAAAGGGTGGCTTGCCACCTCCGGGTCGGGGGAGAGGTCCTACCTCAAGTGGAGGAGTTTACGTATCTCGGGGTCTTGTTCACGAGTGAGGGTAGGAGGGATCGGGAGATCGACAGGCGGATTGGTTCGGCGTCTGCAGTGATGCGGACGCTGAGCCGATCTGTCGTGGGGAAGAGGGAGCTGAGCCAGAAAGCCAGGCTCTCGATTTACCGGTCGATCTACGTCCCAATCCTCACCTATGGTCATGAGCTTTGGGTAATGACCGAAAGAACGAGATTGCGGATACAAGCGGCCGAAATGAGTTTCCTCCGTAGGGTGGCCGGGCTCAGCCTTAGAGATAGGGTGAGGAGCTCGGACATTCGGGAGGGACTCGGAGTAGAACCGCTGCTCCTCCGGATCGAAAGGAGCCAGTTGAGGTGGTTTGGGCATCTGGTCAGGATGCCTCCTGGACGCCTCCCCGGGGAGGTGTTTCGGGCATGTCCTGCCGGCAGAAGGCCCCCGGGTCGACCCAGGACACGTTGGAGAGGTTACATCTCCAATCTGGTCCGGGAACGCCTTGGGGTCCTGCCGGAGGAGCTGGTGGACAAGGCCGGGGAGAGGACGGCCTGGAGCTCCCTAATTGGGATGCTGCCCCCGCGACCCGGACCCGGATAAGCGGAGGAAGACGAAGACGAAGACGAAAATGCTTTAGACAGCCACAGGAGGAGGTTTTGCTTTGGAAACCGAAAAACAAATAAATTAATTTGAACTCTTTACGCCAACATTTGGCTCATGTCCAAAAATCAAAGGAGGGATAAAACTGTCCAGCTATGGAGGTGTAGCAACTTTATGTGTGTCAGGGTGATGTGGGGGTTAGTGTAGCAGTTACTTCATAATTCCCGTACATTTCTTCACACAATGCAGTGGGCCTCCATCCCTTCAGCCTCTCACCTCACTAACGTTGTCATCTTAAACAAAACGTCCATCCGTTGTGTTTTAACAGCATTCCTGAAATCTCAGTGTGTAGGATGAAATCTTAAATTGGTCCCTCACCAATTTATCATTATCTGACCTTTGTTTTGTCTTCTCCCAGCAGTCTCGTGAACAGTCGGACGATGAGCAATCCGAGGATTCTGTGAAGTTCAAACGACTTCATAAACTAGTTAATTCAACACGCAGAGTCAGGAAAAAGCTCATCAAAGTCGAGGAGGGCAAGAAGCATTCCACCGAAGGTCTCTGATAGCTTTTTCCTTTAAGTTCAACATTTAGGTATCAGTTTGTATTCTTGCTAAAGAAGATGGCTTGACTGATTGTTGTGGTGTCTTCTTTAGATTTCCTGACTTTGGAGACACCGCCTCGCTGTGAGGACAAGGCAGCTCTGTATACAGGGGTTCTTAAGAAGCCCCCTTTGCCCCTGGAGGCCTCGCTGCCTTCCCTCAATCACGATCAGCTCTCTCTAGACGGAGACACAGACAGTCTGACAACCTCCCCATCGTCCAGCAGCCTGGACACCTGGTCCGGGCACAAGCTGGTGAAAACCTTCAGTAAATCTTCTAGTACCCACGGACTCATCAGACCACCACAGAGAACCACAGTTGCCTCAAGAGACCTGGGAGGCTCCATCTCCGGGGTAGCGGGCAGCGGCTCCTCCTTCTCAGAGCTTGATGGGTGCGGAGTAGACGATGAAGGAAAGTTGCAACGCTCCACTACAGATGGCGAAATGAGGAAGGCCCTGAGCTCCATATCCCACGGGGTAAGTAACAACGAAGCCCTGTACGCCTTCTATGGCCTCACCAAGCCTCGACCTAAACCCCAGTCCCAGTCACGCCTCCTGATCTCCCTGGATGACGGTCCACAAGGCAGCCCTAAACACACACTTACCAGCCGCCACCACGGCAGCTGGACACACAGGAAACCCGACCCAAACTACGCTTACTCCACCAAGCACCTGTTGTACCATCGCTCATGCAGTGCCAAATCACCCTTCTCCCCCCCGTCCGTCACCCCTTCCTCCCCTGTCCGCTGCGACGTCGCCAAGTCGAAAGGTTTCGGAGGCAGCGGAGGGGGCTGGGTGTTTCCCCCTCGCAGGCTGCGAGGCCGAACCGCCGTCAGCGAGCTGAACATCACCTATGTTGTTGAGCGAAGCCTGTACGGCCACCTGAACTGGGCCCAGCTGGTCCGCCCTGTCACCCTCAGCCGCGCCGAGCGCCGCTGTCTATTGGAGGAAGACCGCGAGGTGGACAGGAAGTGGGCGGCCAGTGTGGACCGCTGCACGAAGCGGGTGCTGTTGCGCATCCAGCAGAAGTCTGTGAGTTTGGACCATTAGGTTTAAATCGGCCGCCGACTCTGGACTCGGGGCTTCAAAGTTGCAGAATAGCTCCGAGGTTAAAGGTTAAGATGAAGTTGATGTATCCGAACACAGGACCAGATCTAAGTGAGTTATTAAAACCTTTAAAAACAATGTTTTAGATTAAAAAGTAGTTCCTTCTTCTTGTTTACGTCGCATCCTCCGACCCTAACTGACAGACACCGATATTGACTTTTAAATGAAAGCTCTACGCTTCGAAACTTTTTATTTCAGCAGAATATGAAATGATTACAGAATATGCAGTTGGAAGGTTAAGTTTCATAAGTGCCTTTTAAAAATGCCAGATCCCTGCAGAACGCGGAGCCTCGCTGTCCCCGTGGGAGTAGGAAAGGTAATACAAGCTCCGAGCTGCTCATCCTGAAAAAGATGCTCACCATCAAACCTCAGAGACCTATTCATTGCCTGGCCTCATTAAGTCTACCTCATCTACAGCCCCCATGCCTATCCGTTTTCAAATCAATTTAAGTGTAAAATAGTATTACAGGAAAAGATTGGATAGGAAGGGCTTTTATCATCGAGCCGTGATTGAAAATGGGAGTAATAACATTTTCCTTAAGCAGCATGAAAATAGTCCCACGCACACTGCACGCTCGTGTAGAAGAGGCGACCGTTGGGACGTGAAGGGTGGGGAGGCATAGCAGAGCTATCCTGCAGCTTTGAGAGTATCTGAGTCCTATCGTGTTCTAGTGACATCAATGGAGGTCGCTCTCATCCAAATATTTTTTTCTTGTTGCTTTTTATCTTCTTTTAAGGCCCGTGCCTCTATCGCTGATGTGACTTTTTCCTTTTTATATGTTCTGAGACCTTTTTTTATTTCTGGGTGCATGTCCATTTCATCAAACATCATCACATTATTATGGGATGTGTTTTTTTCTCTCCAAACATCCTTGTGCTCCAAACTGCCTTTTTTTCTTCTTTTTTTTGTTGTTGTTGCCTGGAAGCTGTGATGTGGACTGCAGCTATGGACATGTGCAGCTCTTTTATCTCTAGGATTTTGATCTTCCAGGACTGAATAAACGTTCCACGAAGCAGCTTTGCTACAGTTAAAGGGAAACATCACCAAGCATTTCCCCCTCCGATGTCTAATCCGAATGTCTTGTGTTGATATTTCTGTGTGTCAAGTCAGATCTTGTGTTTTTTCCTCAGAGCAGGTTTTTCAAACCAAAAAAATCTGATGAGATTGTTGCGTTGCTGTCTCTTAGCAACCATCCTATATGTTGTACATGACTGCAAACGGCCCATTTCTGCAGATTTTGTATTCATTTGCAAAAATGGTGTGCAAAAAAAGTGTTAGCTTGTAAAAGATGCAATTACAGTTTTGCATCATTAAGAAAAGCCCATAATGAGTCAACAATAAAGCGGCTCATTTGGACCAGTTTTAAAATACAATAGCTTGTTACGTCACGTCTGTCGCCACGCCACAGTCCTCGTGTGACACCATACATCCATGTGCATTAAACAAACAGCTGCCTGTGTTATGCCAAGCATGAGTCATCGTTTGTCGATGGAGTGGGTGGGAAGGGTTATTTTTTAAATGTGACCTTCTGAGTTTGACTCATTTGATTGTGTTTTGGCCCGCCCCCACAGAGAACGTGCAGCTTCGGGGGCTTCGACTTGTCCAATCGCTCTCTCCATGTGGTCAACACGGGCTCCGAGAGCAATGTAGGTGCCAAGAGGCTTTTTGAAGCATAAAATGCCACATTAAATCAGCTCAATTCTCCCCGTTTTTCATCTGTTTCATGCAGCTTGTTCAACATCTTTTTTTTTTTTTTTTTTTGAATCCCAGAATAAAGAGCAGGAGGCGATATACAGAGAGGTGGTCAAATCCCCCACCACATCACGGATCTCTCTGGGCAAAAAGGTCAAATCAGTGAAGGAGACCATGAGGAAACGCATGTCAAAGAAATACAGCAGCTCCCTGTCGGAGCAGGTGAGATGAGCGACACGTGAATCTGGTTTTGTTATTGGAACGTCCAGATGAGCCTTGAAGGTGCACTCAAACAGAAAGAGAAGCTGAACCGTAACTATTTAAAAACACACAGAAAACCACCTGTGAAGAGAAGGAAAAGGTCCGGTTGAGTGAACATTTAGATGATGTTTTACAGTGTAGACCACAAGTTCTGTCTGCGAGCTGTGAGTGGGTGGGGGGGTTTGTTTTAGTTACAGAACAAACACTCTTCCCTTGTTGGACCCAGTCAGCTGGGTGGAGTTGTGTCCTTCAGTGATGTAAGCGTCCCCTGGGCTTAACGCCGCTTCTATCACAACATGTTTAAGGCATTCAGCGGCGTTAGCACTTGTTGGACTTTAGTTAAGAAGCTGTAAAAAGTAGACATGCAAGACTAAAAGTTACTGAATTCTTTTTTATTTATATCAGAGCAAAGTACACAAACTTAGTACATTTCTAAACTATTAATGCACATTTCTGACCGTACTGTGCATTTTTCTGTATGTAAACATTTATGTAAACAATAATGCAAGTGGCTCAGAGAAAAATAAATCAACTTTGGCCCTCAGTCAGGAGCTAGCTCTGACCCTTTTGTTACGGAGCCATAACCGATAAATATAATATTCTAGGTTGATCCTTGTCTGCTCCTTTAATCACATAATTACATGGTTTATTATAAGATGCACACTGACATGCTGTGAATTAGCAAATTAACTAATTCTCCAATTTATCTGCATTTATATGAATAATCTGTGATAATTTAGTGGATTTACTTGTGACCATTGTAAATATTGTTAGTTTTAATCTGAATTAAACTTGCTGCAGTGTAAAGTTTGCACTTTGGACTGAAATAAAAAGCCCAGTGCACTCAACATCACTATTGTAGTTCCGTTTTCTTGTTTTGTAATCACAAGAAGGTGAAAAGTGGCTAATAAAGCTGTAATTTCCATGTCAAAATAACACATTCTTTATCTTTCTAAATCCTTTAGTTCAGTTGGCTTAGGGTTGTGAATTAGAGCGCCCACGTTTTAAACCTTAAACAGAAGCAGCCAGTAAGTGCCGGCATTGAACTTTGTAACACCAATCTGTAGACTACAGTGCCACCTAGTGGATGTTTCAGACATGTAACAAGTGAATAGTTACACAAGTTGGGCTGAGTTGATGTCAGCATAAGACAAATATTATTAGATATGTTGCTGATTTTATGTGATTTGTTATGAATATTAATTATTCTTTAGAATAAAGCGAGAGAATAGTTTTCAAAGGAATGTTCATGATGCATTTGTTCTCCTGATCTTCTCTTGGTCTTTCATCATCTCACATCTCATAGCTTAACATTTATTGTGTCTTTCCGTTGTATTCCTCCCTTCTCTGTTTCCATCTTGTAGTCCAGTCCCGATGGAGCTCCCGGTTCTCCACAGTCACCTCTCCCAGACACCGACTCCTTGGAGAAGCCGAAGCTTAAGGCAGGAGGATCTGTGGAAAGTCTGCGGAGTTCCCTCAGTGGACAGAGTTCAATGAGTGAGACATTTTAATTCCCTGAAATGATTGTTTGACTCTTTTTTTTTCTATTTTGAAACAGAAAATAATGTTAAAGTGATCTGCTTCAGGACAGTCTGGAGGTTTGCCACTAGATGGAGCTAGTAGCTTCATCACATGTCTTTGAATTCATGCTGAATTTCACCCATCAGAGTAATTATCTCAGAGTTACAAACTTCATTTTGGGAATCAACAGAATCAACTTTATTGTCATTGAACCAGTCTGACCAAAGAAACGCACAAACCCAGTCTAAACAGGTTCAAGCAGGCTCTGAGAGCAGCCACTCGTGTGCAAATGGGAAAATATAAGAGAAAGGGGGGTGACATTAGAGAGGGAAGATGGAGAAACCCACCCTGCCCCCAAAAGGGGGACGAGTTTGGGTTTCAGTTAAAACACCCTAAACATAAAAGCACAGACGATCACAACGTAAAGCACAAGTGGTGGGTGGGAGGGGTGGAGATCCCCTCTACTGCTCCGAGGTGTGAAGGAGATTCAAGGAATGAGAGAGCATCGAGTCCAAGGCGGTGTGTGCATTTGTGAGTCCGTGCATGTGTGTTGCTTCAGTGATTAGCGGCCCTGTGACCTTTCTCCTAGATCACTTGCAGATTGATCTAGGAGCTCACAGTTCCGTGTTAGAAGTAGGGGGAGGGGAGGGCAGTCTGAGTTCTTCTCCCTTCAAGGCCACGTAGGGGAGCCAATGACATAACAGAATCATTTTGGAACAGACAAGAGATTCTTTTGCCACTCTACCTTCAGTCCTTCCTGGTCTCAGGGAGATCTTTCCTCTCCGATTCCTTCATGACACCTGAAAGCTAGAACCCATGTCTTGTTTTGTTTTTTACTCGCTGCACGCACAAATATATGACAGAGAAAATGCTACGACTATGACTTCATTTTCTTGAGATGTGCATTTTATTGCATCATGACCACAAAGAGATGTTTTGAAGAAAGCCTGAGTCAGGTCTCAGCCACAGTTAATCGTCTCTTGACTGATTTACAGGTGGTTCATTTGAGGCTTCTGTAAATATTCTGTGTCCAGGTGGTCAGACTGTGAGCACCACTGACTCCTCAACCAGCAACAGGGAGAGTGTGAAGTCAGAGGATGGAGATGACGAGGAGCCGCCTTACAGAGGACCGTTCTGCGGCCGGGCTCGGGTCCATACGGACTTCACACCCAGCCCGTATGATAGCGATTCACTCAAGCTAAAGGTGTGTCTCTTTCCTGTGATGGCCACAGCCTGGAAGATTTACAGCTGTCTGAATTGTTTACCACTTGCCAGGAATCCTTCGTTTTATAGAATGAAATTACTTGTGACCGTTTCAGAGGAGTGAGCACTCTTGGCGCCCTGCTTCCGTGATCTAAGGTGCACCTGAATTGCAAATGCCTGCTTGAACAGATGTGTAGATGAAGTAAAAGGTTCCGTTTTCCTCATGAGTGGAGGAAGTGGGCTCCAGAGCCGAGGTGCAGAGCGACTCCGGACTGCTGCTTTAATAAGAATTGGAACGTTTTGGTTTTTCTGCTTTTAAAATGATTTTATTCAGAAATGTACAAATGTGCGTGTGTGGAATTTAAATAAAGGTTTATTGTAACTATTTGGTAAAAATGAGACTCATGATGCACTTGTTGTTCTTCCAGAGAGGGGATGTGATCGACATCATCAGTAAGCCTCCCATGGGAACCTGGATGGGTCTGCTCAATAACAAAGTGGGCACCTTCAAGTTCATCTATGTAGACGTGCTGAATGAAGAAGAGGAGAAGCCCAAGAGGCCCGTGAGGAGGAAGAGGAAGGGCCGGCCTCCCAAACCGACATCAGTGGAGGAGCTGCTGGAGCGCATAAACCTCAAGGTTGGCAGATTATAGTCGTCATTGTATTATATTTACTATTTGCTCATTCGGTCAACGAAAATCTCAAACGCACACAGAGACAAATGTAGTGAGTCCAATAACAGGCTTAGGATGATTGATTTGACAACGACTCACAAACATGAACACCCCCGTATGAACCACACCCCTGCAGAAAGCCCAGCTCTTTTCATCTAAAACCTACTCATGAGTTATCATCTCCGACCGAAGCAGCCTGCAGCCTTTACTTCCTCACACAGAGGCAGAGACTTCCTGTGGGTTGTCTGTTTATAGCTCTGTCCAACTCCCAAGTCCCAGATGAAGGGCTACTGATGCTAAAATGTCAATCTGCTTGTTGCGAATGCCTCTGAGGGCTGTTTGTTAATGAATTCCCTCAGCTAAACACAAAACCATTTCACTTTCATCTTATTTGCGTCTGTCGCGCTTTTGTTCGAGTACTCGGGTAACTTTTCTTATTTTCCTATGTTCATATTCAGTCAGTCTGCCATTTTCTCAAACCGTAATGATCAGGCTTGCCTGTAAGATGCCAATCCGAACGTCCGTTTTTCTTTTTCTTTATAAAAAGGATAAAGTATCCTATAAGTGAGCTGTGGTGGTACTTTGTTGAGTCCAGCAGAAATAGCAGCAGCAGCTCTCTCTCATGAACTCTGACTCTGTAATTGAAGGTCTTGCTCAACGTGACGATCACTCGAGTGTAAAACAAAAACTGGAGGCTGTTATGAGTAGTTTGAAGCTGGCTGACTTTGCACTCACAGAGAGGATGTGTCGTGAGCTCTTTTATGTTGTCTCAGATATCACAGAGTCCTGGGTGTGTGTGTTTGAGTGGACCACTTTGTTCTCTGTGGTTGATGGTTGCTTTGATCGCATCGCCCAGTTTCTCACATTCGTTGTGTCGTATTGTTCGTGTCTCATTTACATTTTGCAAAGTTTGTAGGACGAAGGCTGACTTATGTTCAGCGATTACTCTAAAGTAGCTTTTTATGCAAGTTAAACATTACTTTAAATAATACTATCACATTAATGTTGCCTTAAGTTAAAGAGCATCCAAATAAATAAATAAACAAGAGGGTTTTTTTTGGGGGGGGGGGTGTTAAAGGGATAAAAAAGGGATTTTCCAGGGATCAATCGATGTTTATCGTATTTAAAAATCCTCATAGCTGGAGCTATTGTGAAAAATGTTAGACATTAAAGACCTGGTGTCCTTTTGACAGAATTCATATCACACATCACTTTACATGCTAGAGTTTTCAACTAATGTTTTAGGAAAACCTTTAAAAGGGATACATTCCCTCTCACGTAAAGCTATATCAGCTGTTTTGACTTGCTTTTAGCACCCCCCAGTGTTTGTTAGTAAAAAAACGAAAGTAAAACACCTCGCTGTGCATTGGTCATTTTAACACTTTTATGTAATAGCTGAAATGTCTCCTCTGCTTTCATTAGTTTCTGCTGGAGCGGTTCTTCACTAAATCTAACAAACCAGCTGCGCTCACGATCTAAAATGTGCAGAAATTGTCTGGCATGTCAGCTCCACTTTACTAAGTCCAACAGGGGCCGGACCAGCAACTCTCAAGTTGCAAGTGTGGTATTCTGGCCATAGAGGGTGGTGGTGGGGGTCTAAGTGACATTTCATTAACCCTGTAAAGAGTCATTTTAGCACATACTGCAGGCCTTCACTCAATGCGTGCGTTAGAGTTGTCAGGCCTTCACTGGCTCAAGAAAAAGATTTTAAAATATGAAAAAGTTTCATAGTCAAACTTTATGAGTTTCAGTACCTTCCAGAATGAGCCGTTTCAGGGCTCTGTCAGTTTAAGAGGACAAGCTGTTGCTGGCCACACCCACTCCTCCTATGCTTTCTAGCAGCAACTCTCTTGCACACGAGAGGTGATCTGAGTCTAAAGCTGTGATGTCACAAATGATGCATTTTTTAAATGGCTTGTTTTAGGCTCATAATTGCCAAAACCAAACACTGACAGAAAACTGATGGATGGGTTTTTTTTATATTAAGAGTCTTTATAGAGGCAGTAGAAACACAATTAGCAGCACAAATGGTGAGTTTTGCACAACATGCCCGTTTAACAACAACACTATGCAAAATCTCATGTAATATTTTAGGATCTTCCATGATCTGTTGGCACCAAGAACAAATGCTGTGGAAAAACTCAGTTACTACCACATGAAATTTTGCATAACATGTGTAAAACTGGCTGAGGCTTATCTGTTTTAGGCTCCAAAACTAAATAGTTTTAAGATGTTAAATGAAATTCTTTTCAGAAGCTTTTATTGAAATTCATCCAGTGAATAAAACAACAGAGACGAGTAAAATCCTTTAAAAAAAACAACTTTTCCCTCTCACAGGAGCACATGCCCACGTTCTTGTTCAACGGCTATGAGGACTTGGACACATTCAAGCTGCTGGAAGAAGAGGACCTAGACGAGCTGAACATCAGAGATCCTCAGCATAGAGCCGTGCTGCTGACGGCTGTGGAGCTGCTGCAGGAGTACGACAGTAAGTAGAAATCAGTCATGGAGTTTAGAACTTAAAGACTCAACACCAATGTAGATAAACGTGGAAAATCCTGATAAAACACTTGAAGTGACAAGAAGCCATTAAAGATTGATGCTCTGTGTGAGCAGGCAGCAGTGATCCAGAGCGCTCCGGGCTGTCGGGTTCTCAGGAGAAGCTGCTGTCAGAGGGGCGGGGCCTGGTGGGGGACTCCCCAAGGGACTCGGGCTGCTACGAGAGTAACGAAAATTTGGAAAACGGTAATAATCCCTCATATTAAATCATCACACAATAATCCAATCAGATGTAATCCACCAAGGTTCCTCTCCTTGTCTTTCCCCTGCTGCTGCTGCATCACCTGCTTCTACTTTCTTACGCCTTACCCATCCCTCTCCTTTGGACAAGTCTGCTCACCCCCACCGCCGTAGTGCAGCATCATCTCAGACACTAACTTTGCTTTCACTCCACCTCTCTTCACCACTCTTTTCATCCTTTAGGCGTTCTGTGCCATCTGTGCCAAAGTCCACTTGTAACTGAGAGGGAGCCAGGCTCCAGACCGCTAAGCCTAGCCCACCCCTTAGTGTTGGGAGCACAGAGGGAGAGACGTGCCCCGGTGCACAGAACTGCTCTGATGAGAACAAACTCGCTTCCCAGTTGTGGACACATGTTCCCCGCTGGCCCACCTGTGGCTTCCAGGTCCGCAAATGGGCGCCAGAAAGATGAATGTGAACTCGTAGAGTATTTTTGTTGAGGATTTTCAGAATGTGGCGTTCAAAGATTTCACTGAAAGAGCAGAGAAGGCAGTTGGAGCTCGTGTTTTCGTGCTGTTGTGTTTTTGTGAAAGCAAAAGCATCCAACAGGAAGACGGCCAGTGCTAAAAGTTCATCTCAACATTTCATAATGCCACCACTCGTGTGTTTCTAGGGAATATATTGCACAATCATACAGTATGTGCCTAAAACGATGTGGATGAAAATATTTAACCTGTAGTCTGATCCTGATATGTTTGATTTTTTTTTGTTTGTTTCTTATTAAATCCTCCTCTGGAGACAGCTGCGTCTCCGTCTTCACCTCCTTTCTCCACTGTTGATTTTCTGCTCCATTAAAATCTTTGTTCCTGAATCTGTGTGATGCCAGTGTAACTGCTGGTTCCTCCTTCATGTATGATGTGTGTGTGTCATTCACAATAAAGCGTGCAATCTGCCACAGTAGAAAAAAAGTATCACTTCTCTTGACTAATAAAAGAGACTGCTTCATTTTCTTCTTTTGTTCTTTTGTCTGTTTTTTCTTTTCATACCACTAAACTCACCGTGTAACGCTTAGTAAAGACTCTTCTTTTTGCAAGTTTGGGGTTCCACCGCTCTGCAAAAATACTGAAAATGTTGGTTCTGCTGATGCTGTAAAATGACTATTTTTAAGTTTAAATTGGTATTTAAATGAAATATTTTATTTAAATTGAAATTATACTTGTGTCAGTGCAGAAATAGCAGCTGTGAAATCCTGACTCTGTGCTTTAATCCCCAAGCTTTCCCTTTCAGATGTAAAGATTCTTCCTTACAAGTCATTCAGTCTGTAACATCATTTGTTATTTGTCAATAAACTATTTATATCAAATAGCTGAAACAAATAATGGAGATTAATCTAAAAATAATTTTATTTTAATACAATTAATTCACAGTGAAAGGCAAAATTATTGTTTTATTTATAAGTTGTATTTTAGGATATTAAACAGGTTTGCAGTCAGAAACACATTTTAAGCTGAAGTCATGAATTCACATCCGCTCATCTTTTGGTGCTTTTACTTTGAAAGAGGCGTCTTCATTCCTCTTTCTTGACTTAGTCAGGCTCTCCTTCATTTCATTCATTCATTTGAAGGAAAGATGGTAAGTTGCTTCATCCTTTCTTGTTCTGTTCTTTCTAAAGTCTCCTATTTTTATTTTAGAAAAAATGGCAAATCAGGCCATGAATCAAAATGCTAATCTCAATCCAGCGGAACACTAATCATGACTACAAGTCTGTTTATGATCGCAGCGATTGAACACACATTCAGTTTTTGGTATTAATTCATTATTTATTGTACATTTTAAGTTATTTTCAACTACTTTGTTAGTCACAAGGCTGCTAACTCACACACAAATGAGCATGAGACACACACATTTGAATGTCATTACACTCTCACACCACTCCTCTGATTTCTCCCTCTGAAAAGGAAATTGATCCATCTGAGCTACACATTGCATCGCGTTACTGTGAACACTCACCCTTGCTAAGTGCACTGCAAATTTTATGAGCAAGTAGGGGAATCAGCGCCTTCCAGTTGCTAAAAGCTGGAACTACACATTGGTTCTGATATGTTCTTAGCCTCCTTATCTCGATGACGCTGAAAAAAGTCCTAATCTTTGTTTTTGTCCTTTTGGGAATATTAATATTAAGGAGAAGAAGGAGGAGGGGGACTATAAGTTGCAATAGCTACTTGGTTTTTAATGGCGTTTGTTTATATTAATTTGTTCAATTTGGGCTAAAATATCCTACAAATAGGAGTTCATCTAGGATTTGTGTTTTGCAGGTAAAAGCAAGAAAGCTTCCCGTTCCAGTCGCTTGCCAGCAGGACTCCAGTCTCCAGACTACCCAACGCTGCCCTTGGCTCTTTCATCGGAGACTCTGCAAAACAATGGCAAAAACCAGCGCGCAAAGTTCCCAAAAGCACTCTTCAACAAGTCTTCCCTCAAGAGCTTCAACTTCCGGGGGCTGTGCAAAGCCCAGAGACAGTCGCCCATCCCAGCCAGTCGCAGCTGTGAGGAACTTGATGGTCCCTCACAGCCCACTGGACCCTGGAAGCGGTCTCACTCTCTGGGAGAGCTGAACTTGGAGCAGAACTTTGAGCAAAAAGAGAATCCAAGGTTTATGCTCAAACACAAAAAAGAAGGACCCAAATCAGTCAATATCAGTCCTTTCAAGGTCTGCAGGGAGGATCGTTCTCCAGTCAAATATGGGGTTCCGACGGTAAGCCCTAAAGGAAGGGCTGACAGACCACCCATACCCTCCCAGCTGCCCCTTCGTTCCCCTTGTCCAATGATCCAATCCCCCAACCCTGCTGAACCTTTGTTAAGTCCCACCCCAAGTCCTGATTCTAGTGCAAGTGGGGAGAGGGTCATCCTGACCCACACTAAAAAACCTCCCATCCCACCTCCAGTTCCCGCCAAGAAATCTAAAGAAAGACTAGCCAATGGCATGCGTCACCCAACTCTCTCGCTGTCTTCCACGCCATCCCCCACCGCCTCTCCAACTCACTCCCTTAACCGCTCTCAACCGAGCAGCCCCGTAATTCGCAGCCCCAGCCCCATCCTCAGTGCCCCCGCTCTTCCTGCCAAGACCCTGAGTACGCCATCCAGTCCATCTGCCACATCATTTGTGTCATCCATGGGCAAAGACTCAGACAACGCACCAGCTGTCCAGCCTCCTTGGCTTTCGGATCTTGGGGGTAAAATGGCTGTTATGAGGAAACTTTCCCATGCCAAGATGAGTCCTGATCTGCACACCCTGCTGGAGCAACGGTTGCAGACTGAGAGCATCGATCTGACCGAGGAGCCGTACTCTGACAAGGTTAGAATGAAAACATCCGCTTCCCGTAAATAATCGTTTCATAACAATTTTCCTTTTTAAGATACTTAATAGATTAACTTAAGGGATACTTTGTAACTTTTTTTAAATCATTTTTTAAAGCCAGTATGTGCTAAATGACCCTTTAAAGGGTTAATGAAAGGCCACCCTGCCCCATCACCCCCTGTGGCCAGAATATCCCACTTGCGACTTCAGAGTTGCCGGTCCAATCTGTTGGGACTTAGAAAGAGATGGTGCTGACATACCTGGTGCTGCAGTCTGGTTGCAGCACATTTCCTGTACGTTTTAGATTATGAACACAGCTGATTTGTTTAATTTAGTGGTGAATCACTCCTGTAGACACTAAGGAAGGCTGGGGAGACATTTCTGCTGTGTTAAAGTGTTAAAAATACAAATGCACAGCGAGGAGATCAGTTATGCTTTCGGTTCTACAAACGAACACTAGGGGGTGCAAAAAGCAAACCAAAACTGCCTAGGCTTCCTTTAAGTTAAAATGTATGATATGCTCTGTTTAAAGATGTTCTTACGCAGAGCAGAAATTATCAACAAGCATATGAAAAACAGACCTACTGTACAAACATCTCATCAGGCTTCGTTTAACCCTATTAGCAGTCATTGCTTCTCTCTCATTTGTTATTTAGAACATCAGCAGAATATTTCAGAACTCAGTTGGTTTTAAAACAGGCTCAAACAGAATTTGAAGCCTGTGCTTCTTGTTTTGCACAGATATTGGGGATGTTAGTGCGTGTGTGCAATTATAAACGTTCTGCCTGTAGCCGAGTAGGAAAATACGGTGGTTTTAGTCTCACTGTGTTGCGGTACAGACTGTTAAGTTTATGGGCTGACTCTTACTGAAGGCAGACAGGGTCATAAAAACTTTTGGCACTCATCAGACCCCAGGCTCAGTGTCTGAAATATGCTGGAGACCCTAACACTGGCAACAAAACTGCACATAATTCAAAGAGATGAGCCATAAATGGATGAGGTGCAAAAAAGGGGCTAAGGCCACAGCAAAGCTCTCTGTGAGACTTGTTTTTGCTGTAATGGTGCGGTTCAGTTAAGCTTTTTATTCAAAAGTACATCATAAAGTTTTAAAAGTGCTTAAACTTTTTCATCCACATTTCCATGCTTTAAATTTCTCAATACTGCAGCTCAGTTTAGGTCACCAGAACCAAGTTTTGCCGAAAAACATGGCAAAAAATTAACTATAAAAACCTAAAATATTTGATTTATGTTCTTCCTAACAAATTACTAAAGACTTGCTTAGTATGAGGATTGCGGTAAAGTCACTGACACTAGTCAGTGACTTGATGCAATTTGCTGGGTTCCTTATATAGGACACATTATTTCTGATTGGCTTAATGAACTGACCTGGATTGGAATGTTTATTATGTGAAGTGCCTTGAGACGACTCTTGTTGTGATTTGGCGCTATATAAATAAAATTGAATTGAATTGAACTTGAAAGAAGAAACATTGTTCTATTGGATGTATTCCATATGAAAAATGTATCAAGGGGTTTTAATAAAGATGAAAGTTTGTCTTCAATGGCAGATTTGACGTTCTGTATAGAGATCCATATTAGAGACTATATATGGTTGGGTATCAGAGAAAGTGCACCATAGTTCTTATTGAGACTAGTGGAAGCATGTAAATGGACTATAGAAAGAGGCCGAGTACACATCCGTGAGGTACACTACAACTCAGCTAAGCCGTTAAAGGACAGGTAATTAATGAAAAGGATGGTAAAGTTAGTTTTTATCTTTATAACAAGCCCATGTCTCGAGATGATTCAAGAGTGCTGGGACAGTAATAAAGACCTAATGATATTTAAATAGATGTATTTCTTCTCATTAGATGTTCATTAGTTGCTAGCATGCAGTATCTGTAACATTCTGTTTTAAAACCAAACTGGAAACCACCAAAAACCCTTTTACCTATCAACAGTTCATTCATGTTGGTTTATCACTAGCATATCAGGCACATCTTGAGGTCTTGATGTTTCAATCAAGTCAGGGATCTTGTTTACAACTCAGGCATTTTCTTTCATTTTCAATTTTTTTTTCTTTTGTTAATTTAAATCTGTTATGTTGTCACATTGGCACATTAACTCATCTTTATCCTCCTCATTCACAGCACGGCCGATGTGGAATCCCTCAAGCGCTGATTCAGCGTTACTCTGAGGACTTGGAGCAGGACGTCAAAGATGTGGCCTCCAGTATGGACCAGCTCCGAGTTAAAGAGCTCCGTAAACAGCACCGCATGGCTGTAAGGCAACAACACAATTAGGCAGAAAAAAATGACTGGAAGCTGTGTTGCAGCTTATTTTCAGCGCAGCATTTTCTTTAACTGAAGCTAGTGAGGAATAAGGCATGCTAGGTGGTCTTAAGTTACCTAAATGTGATTTTATCTCACTGTCACTCAGATCCCCTCCAGAGGTTTGACAGAGGTGTACCGGAAACCTGCACCAATGGATAACATCAGCACAGTCTCAGATTGGCTCACCTCCATCGGCCTTCCCATGTACAACTCGTCCCTGGCAGCCGCAGGCATCAACTCGCTGAGTCGCGTGGCGTTGCTAACAGAGAGCTCTGCATGGGAGGCTGGGGTGCGAGATCAAAGACACGCCCGTCGCCTGGTCAGTGAGGCCAGATTGGTGAATGTTCACAGAGAGTTCCCGTCTTAAGTTTGAAATCAACTCATCAGTCAGGACCACCTCACTTAAACGTGACCAGAAAAGTGTCTACAGAACCGATCAACCTCTGTTGCGACCACATAAGTACTTCCTGTTGAAACACTTAACATGAGCTACCCCGCTCTGGGACCATCTCCCTTTGACACTTTGTTCTTTCCTAAATGTTTACGGCATTAGGGAGTTCCTCCCAACAGCCAAGACAAGATGCCTTTTAAAGAGAAAACAAAACCGAGTCACTACGTTGGATGGTTTCCATTCTAATAACACCCTAAAGTCTTCAAATAGAGACTTGGATCTTGCCTTTAAGGATGATAGCACACTCTTTTTGTAGGGTCAGTGTGTTTTCTTTTTATCAGTTAATACAGATGGTTTATTTCCTACATGTTCCATAAACAAATCTCTGGTGGCAAGGCAGCATTTGGACTTTTAATCAACTAAAAACGGACACCAATCAACAGATAACAGGCGATTCATTTATTTGTACCGTGTTTCTGTATGAAAGCATAAAGCACATTCTAATTTTCAAGTGATCTATAAATTTAAACATTGCTTTTTGAATGTTACAGCCATTTTTGGAGGCCAGCTCTCAACTGACATCATACACCTTTATATTTCACGTTACTGTAAGTCTTGTTCATGATGTATTCATCTAGAATGCACGTCTCGCTCTTATATCATAATTTTCTTTTTGGCTGTAGAAATCACGATCACCCCTTCCGGAAACAGCATTCCTTGATCTTTGAGAAGGACGTTTAAATTGCCTTACCAATATGAATGAATTGCTACAAGAAACCGCTTTGACTACATCATGACTGAAACAGAACTGTGACAAATGCACAATTTTTTTGTTTATTTGCTTTGATTTTAGGGAAATAGTGCTATTTTCAAACAAATATACACATGTAGCCTGTTCATTTTGATGATTTGCATGGATGTGGACCAAAGAACATGTTTGAAGATTGAGGACTGAAGCCCAGATGTTAAGACCTCAGGAAAGGCACAGACATTGTCTCGCGTTGACCTCCTTCTGGAGCATGTTGGAGCACATTTGTTGTACGTATCACAAAGAAAAGAACAAAAAGCGTGTACGATCTAGCTTAGATTGGCTGTTTTAGAGGAAATGCATCAGGACTGTCCACTTTTAGGAAAGTCTTGAAATTCAGGGACTTGATGAGAGGAGTCAGACTGTTAAAATGTTTTGTGGCCAAAAAAACAGAACGGAAAATTACCAGAATCTTGTTCCTCGTTCAGTGGTGCACTCTGCATGAACCTGAGCATTAAATATTGCTTTTGTGTGTGTGTGTGTGTGTGTGTGTGTGTGTGTGTGTGTGTGTGTGTGTGTGTGTGTGTGTGTGTGTGTGTGAGTTCATTTCTTTTTGTGTTTCAGTACTCTTATCTTCCATAGCCTGAACTAAGCTGAAGACTTACTGAATTTCATATTTTTCTTGCTGTGGGCGTTTGATATTTGATGCCTTTTTTCCCGCTGCAATCAAAGTGGTGCTCTGAGAAAGTGAGGATTGAAGAATGTGAGTCAGGATTAACCAAGTAAAAGACCCAGGAAGTGTTGTGTAACGAATGGAAATACTGACACTGTAAATGCACTTTAGATGGTAAAAAATAGCGGTTAAATTGGCATAAATTGGTTACATTTGCTCACAGGTCCATTAATGGACACTTGTCAGGTGTTGTAAAGGGTTGTGATGAGTTATGCTGGTATTATTTCTAATTGTTTGTATAGAGTCCTCAATCCCAACTTTCCAATCATGAGTTAACCTCTTCTTTCCCGTTTGTGTTTGCAGTTTTACAAAAACTAAATTCTTAATTACATATATGAAATGCTTAGCAGAACTTGCACGTTCTGTATATGTAATTGATATTTAAATAACTTATTTTTTTGCTTTTATCTCCATATCTTCTGTAATTAGCTGTACTATATGAATAGCAATACCTTCCTGCATATTGCTCTTGTCAGTAAGAAACTACAGTATGTATTGTAAAATATATGTACAAATTATTTTATTTGTTTTTCATCTACCTAATGATTGTCCATACAGATTTGCTTGTCTTGAAACAAGAAAAGTAATGTCCATAACTATTTGTCATTCTAAAATGAAATAAAAAAGGTTTCTTGCTAAATGCTGATCCTGTTTTTCCTGTGTAGATAAAGCGGAGCAGCCTGTTATTGTTTTATTATTGGTTAAAAGAAACAACAGCGTTTCTATGGCTGTTCAACTAAAATAATACGTAACCATGGCATAATTTTACATTATAAATCCCTATCAGAGGTCTGCTAATGTAGCCGTCTGAAGCACATGACTTAAATATGTTATTCCATGGCTGACTTGTACTTTACTTAGGGAACTTCACAAGCGTTCAAGACCAAGTTTTAAGTCCCAAACAGACCAACACTGCCAGATGACTGCTCGGTTGATGCAATGCAGCTGTTGAGTTTGTATTGGAGTTGGGTTTTACTTTTTTCCAAATGTCTTACTGAACCATTTTTGTATTAAATGTCTAGAATTTGTTTGAGTGAAGAAACGAAAATTTGTTTTTTGTTTTTCCCGCAAGAAATGTTTAAGATCGCTCGAATTGTTCAAAGAGACTGCAGTATTCATTGTCTGGTTGAAAATACACTCTAAAAAGTTTAGGACGTAGTCGTCGTCGTCGTCGTCGTCGTCGTCGTCGTCGTCGTCGTCGTCGTCGTCGTCGTCTTCCTCCGCTTATCCGGGTCCGGGTCGCGGGGGCAGCATCCCAACTAGGGAGCTCCAGGCCGTCCTCTCCCCGGCCTTGTCCACCAGCTCCTCCGGCAGGACCCCAAGGCGTTCCCGGACCAGATTGGAGATGTAACTTCTCCAACGTGTCCTGGGTCGACCCGGGGGCCTTCTGCCGGCAGGACATGCCCGAAACACCTCCCCGGGGAGGCGTCCAGGAGGCATCCTGACCAGATGCCCAAACCACCTCAACTGGCTCCTTTCGATCCGGAGGAGCAGCGGTTCTACTCCGAGTCCCTCCCGAATGTCCGAGCTCCTCACCCTATCTCTAAGGCTGAGCCCGGCCACCCTACGGAGGAAACTCATTTCGGCCGCTTGTATCCGCGATCTCGTTCTTTCGGTCATTACCCAAAGCTCATGACCATAGGTGAGGATTGGGACGTAGATCGACCGGTAAATCGAGAGCCTGGCTTTCTGGCTCAGCTCCCTCTTCCCCACGACAGATCGGCTCAGCGTCCGCATCACTGCAGACGCCGAACCAATCCGCCTGTCGATCTCCCGATCCCTCCTACCCTCACTCGTGAACAAGACCCCGAGATACTTAAACTCCTCCACTTGAGGTAGGACCTCTCCCCCGACCCGGAGGTGGCAAGCCACCCTTTTCCGGTCGAGAACCATGGTCTCAGATTTGGAGGTGCTGATCCTCATCCCAGCCGCTTCACATTCGGCCGCGAACCTACCCAGCAAGAGCTGAAGGTCAGAGCTGGATGAAGCTAGGAGGACCACATCATCCGCAAAAAGCAGAGACGAGATTCTCCTGCCACCAAACTCGACACACTCCACACCACGGCTGCGTCTAGAAATTCTGTCCATAAAAGTGATGAACAGAACCGGTGACAAAGGGCAGCCCTGGCGGAGTCCAACCCTCACTGGGAACAGGTCCGACTTACTACCGGCTATGCGGACCAAACTCACGCTCCTCTTGTAAAGGGACTGAATGGCCCTTAACAGAAAGCCACCCACCCCATACTCCTGGAGCGTCCCCCACAGGGTGCCCCTGGGGACACGGTCATAAGCCTTCTCCAAATCCACAAAGCACATGTGGATTGGTTGGGCAAACTCCCATGCCCCCTCCATCACCCTTGCAAGGGTATAGAGCTGGTCCACAGTTCCACGGCCAGGACGAAAACCACATTGCTCCTCCTCTATCTGAGATTCAACTATCGATCGGACCCTCCTCTCCAGTACCTTGGCGTAGACCTTTCCAGGGAGGCTGAGGAGTGTGATCCCCCTATAGTTGGAACACACCCTCAGGTCACCCTTCTTAAAGATGGGGACCACCACCCCGGTCTGCCACTCCCTAGGAACTGCCCCCGATGACCACGCAATGTTGTAGAGACGTGTCAACCATGACAGCCCTACAACATCCATAGCCTTGAGATACCCAGGACGAACCTCATCCGCCCCCGGGGCTCCGCCGCTGTGTAGTTGTTTGACTACCTCAGCAACTTCTGCCCCCGAGATCGGACAGTCCATCCCCAGGCCTCCCAGCTCTGGTTCCTCCTCGGAATGCGCATTGGTGGGATTGAGGAGCTCCTCAAAGTATTCCTTCCACCGTCCGACTATAGCCTCAGTTGACGTCAGCAGCTCCCCATCCCCACTGTAAACAGTGTGAGCGAGTTGCTGCCTTCCTCTCCTGAGGCGCCGGACAGTTTGCCAGAACCTCTTTGGAGCCGATCGATAGTCTTTCTCCATGGCCTCACCAAACTCCTCCCACGCCCGAGATTTTGCCTCGGCAACTGCCACTGCTGCACCCCGCTTGGCTATCCGGTACCTGTCTGCTGCCTCCGGAGACCCACAGACCAGCCACGCCCTGTAGGCCTCCTTCTTCAGCCTGACGGCTCCCCGAACCTCTGGTGTCCACCAGCGGGTACGGGGGTTGCCACCACGACTGGCACCGGCCACCTTACGACCACAGCTAGCAACAGCCGCCTCGACAATCGCAGAGTGGAACAAGGCCCACTCGGACTCAATGTCCCCCACTGCTCTCGGGACGTGGTCAAAGCTCTGCCGGAGGTGGGAGTTGAAGACCGTCTTGACAGGTTCTTCTGCCAGGCGTTCCCAGCAGACCCTCACTATGCGTTTGGGTCTGCCAGGTCTACGCGGCATGTTCCCTTGCCATCTGATCCAACTCACCACCAGGTGGTGATCAGTTGACAGCTCCGCCCCTCTCTTCACTCGGGTGTCCAAAACATACGGCCGCAGGTCAGATGATACGACTACAAAATCTATCATCGACCTGTGACCTAGGCTGCCCTGGTACCAAGTGTACCGGTGGGCATCCTTATGTTCGAACATGGTGTTCGTTATGGCCAAACTGCGGCTTGCACAGAAGTCCAATAACAAAACACCGCTCGAGTTCTGATCAGGTGGGCCGTTCCTCCCAATCACACCCCTCCAGGTCAAGCTGTCATTGCCCACGTGAGCATTGAAGTCCCCCAGCAGGACAATGGAGTCCCCTGATGGAGCACTATCTAGCACTCGTCCCAGGGACTCCAAAAAGGGTGGGTACTCTGAACTGATATTTGGCCCATAAGCACAAACAACAGTCAGGACCCGTTCCCCGACCCGAAGGCGCAAGGAAGCTACCCTCTTGTCCCCCGGGGTAAACCCCAACACACAGGCAGAGAATCTCGGGGCTAACAAAAAGCCAACCCCAGCCCTCCGCCTCTCACCCGGAGCAACTCCAGCAAAGTAGAGTGTCCAACCCCTCTCCAGGTCTCGGGTTCCAGAGCCAATGCAATGTGTCGAGGTGAGTCCGACTATATCTAGCCGGTACCGCTCAACCTCTGCCACAAGCTCCGGCTCCTTCCCCACCAGCGAGGTGACGTTCCATGTCCCAAAAACTAGTTTCCTTGTCCGGGGATTGGACCGCCAAGGCTCCCGCCTTGGTCTGCCACCCGATTCACATTGCACCGGACCCTTCATGTTCCTCCTGCGGGTGGTGGGTCCACAGTTGGACGAGCCCATGTATCCGGTTCGGGCTGGGCCCGGCCGGGCCCCATGGGCGAAAGCCCGGCCACCAGGCGCTCGCTCACGGGCCCCAACCCCAGGCCTGGCTCCAGGGTGGGACCCCGGTAACCCTCCGGGCCGGGTACTCCGACTCTTCGTTTTCACCGCCATGAAAGATCCTTCGAACCGTTCTTTGTCTCACCCTTCACCTAAGACCAATTTGTCATGGGAGACCCTACCAGGGGCACTAAGTGCCCCAGACAACATAGCTCCTAGGATCATTAGGGCACTCAAACTCCTCCACCACGATAAGGTGACGGTTCAAGGAGGAGTGGTGCAAGAAATGTTTAAGATCGCTCGAATTGTTCAAAGAGACTGCAGTATTCATTGTCTGGTTGAAAATACACTCTAAAAAGTTTAGGACGTAGTCAGTTTTAATAACAGTTGGTATTTTATGTTGCTGGAAAGTCTGATTAGTAATCTTTAAGATGAAGTACCTACAACTTTATCCCAGTGTTAATTTTGGCACATTTTAACTAATTCTTTTAAATTTTAGTCACAATTTAGTCATCTAATTAGTTTTAGTTTTATTTTAGTCGACTAAAATAAAAGTATTTTTCTTCTGATGCTATAGTTTTTCCAGCCGCGGACGTTTTCTCCCTGCTCAATAACTTTGACCGGCATGAACATCAGGATGTCTGGTTAGCGGTAGCTTGTTCAAACAGAGGCTGGCTCTGGACTCTGATTGGTTCCTTTCTCATCTAGTCTCGCCTGTTCTGTTTGCTGATTGGTTCTTTTTTCCATTTGCCATATTTTCCTTTTTCTGATTGGATTTTCATTTCTGTAGATTTTCATCATCTTATTTGTCAACGAAAGTTTCGGTCAATATTGTTCCTAATTTAGTCATTATTGGTGTTTATGTTTTCTTTTTGTTTTAGTCTGTGAATTTTCATTCGTCACAAAATAAATATTTATATATTAAACAAAATTAACACTGTCTCATCCAATTGCTCATTTTCAACAGCTTAAAATAGGTGATTTACCACCAGTAGAAAACTGGAAATCCCATTAATAAAATGAGATCTATAAAGAATGTTACAGGATGCTTTGAAACCACTGATTTTATTCTTTGTAAACCCAAATAGAGTGAGAACTCCACAGGCTTTATGGAAAACCTTATCTGTAGATTTAGGATTTGGAATACAAGTCTTGTTGTCTCCAGCTGCTGTAATTCCCGCTGCACTAAATGTTGATCCCTACTGTGGAAATTTAAACTTAAAGCAACACATCATAGGTTCCCTGTTTCTCCAAAAAAACAACCCAGTTGCAGCATGCTGTAGCTAACACTAACAACAAGCTAATGCTACCACAAGCCAAGTGATAAGCCTCAAAGTAAAAAATAATCCACACTGT